TTTAAAAACCTTGAGGGGAAGCCCGAAAGAAAAAATCCAAAGAGGACAATATTTGCTAGCGGTGGGCTTGGGCTGTTACAACACATCTATTACTGGTGTGTGTCCAGCAAGTATTAGAGCGTCCAGTGTCTAACACAGTAGTGTTTGTGCTTCTTAGCTTCATACTCTCCTAGAGTAAGTTTGCACAATTGGAGGCGTTACCTTTACTTCAAAGTTCTATTCCTCTCCCATGCTTAGTACAATATTGCTACACTGATTTATAGGTCGAACCAAGAAAGTCGAGTATATATCGTGAAGAAGCAATGGATGTTCTTTTATCATGCCTTGGAAATTCTGACTTTCCAACAGCTCAAATTTCAGCAGCTGAGACGATTATGTCTTTACAAGGGAGGTTTAGTACATCCGGAAGACCCTTAGCTAGGTATGTTCTTCTTGAACGTGTTGGATTTGCGAAAGGTTGCATGAAACCGAAACGAAGAGATAATAATAGCAGTGGTCCTGGAGACGTTGAACTTTCAATAGTGAGTTTCTAGAAATTTTTAATACTTTTGGATATTTTCTAAATGATTGGAACTCTGCAGCTGGCTTATATATATAAGCTACAACAATGCCACAACTGTTATGTGTTTCCTATTCTTTTATTCAAAAAATAATTTTGTTTACTTCAAATTTGCACAGAAGGCAGAAGAGAGATCAAATGATGAATGGGAAAGAAAGATGGCATTTGTACTTGCGAGCCATAACTTTGGCTTGTTGTTTGAGCCATTGGCAAAAGGCTTAAAGAGCAAATATGCCGCATTATTTTCTGCTTGCTTTGTCTCTGCCACATGGCTCAGTCATATGCTCAAAGTTCTTCCAGACACGGGGATTCTAGACGCTGCTCGAGTTTGCTTGCTTGATCACTTCGTATCGATTTTCGTAACAACAACGGATATTGAAGAGAAAGCACTTGCCTTGCTAGGAATGAACAGTTTCGTACACCAACCAGGTGGGTAGAACCTTTTGAAACAAGAATAAAGGTACCCATATGAATGCTTACAAACATTAGTTATTTGGCCATATAAATCCCAGAAGGACTGCAGTACCTAAGTTCCAACACGAAAGATATCATGAGAGGTCTCAAGGAACTTAGGAGATCAACAGCATTGGCCTTTGAAATGCTAAAAGTTCTTTGTGAGGGAGAAGAGTCAAGTGCTGTAAGTAGTTGCATCTATTGGCATTTTAGTTCATTAGTTGCATCTATTGGCATTTTAGTTCATCTATCCACAACCGTGTAATGATTCTATATCCTTGTTCTAACGTAGGAACTCTGGAGTCATCAAGAGTTGTTTCTTGTAGATTGCAGTAAAAATGGAGAAGTGCTATCAATTGCTTATTTGAAAGAACAAATCATTTCTGGCCATTCTGATGGAACAATCAAGGTATCCTCACCTCACCTCACCTCAAGATGCTTTTTCATATTTTGAATCTTTCCACTGATTAACATCACCCATGAATCACTGTAATCTTCGATAATGTGTCGTAATGCAATATCGTGTCTTCCGAACTGGTAATAACTACAGCATTCAAAGGAGCTTCTTGAATATATATATGTTGGTACTTGGTGCTATCTAATTATCTGTCAATGGTGCGTTTGCTTGGCTATAAAGGTCTGGTCTGTTGGAGGAACTAATCTTCATCTCCTACAAGAAACTCAAGAACACTCCAAGGGAGTCACCAGTCTAGCAATTATAGAATCCGAAGAAAAACTATACAGTGGCTCTTTAGACAAGACCATTAAGGTGCTTAAACATCAATCGTTTTCTCCCACGTGTATTGTTTCGAACTTCAGTTTAAAGATCGCTTTTCTTCATGAGCAGGTATGGTCTTTAGGTAGTGATGTAATCCAATGTATAAAAGTTCATGATGTGAAGGATCAAGTTCATAATTTAGTCGTTTCAAAGACCATTGCTTGCTTCATCCCACATGGAGCTGGTATCAGGGTAACGCATCAAACACTTCATCTCTTTTCTTAGTGAAAACCATCAAATTCTGCATATTCTTTCAGAAAAAGTTTGTCAGTGGCTCATTTCTTAGAAATATCTTTTAGGGTTATTCATGGGGTGGGGAATCGAAGTTACTAAACTCAAACAAACATGTCAAGTGTTTGAATCTTGTGCGTGGAAAACTATACTGTGGATGCCATGATAGTAGCATCCAGGTGCCCTTCTTGCTCTGTCTGATCCACTGCTTCTATGAAGTCCTTTGTTTCTTGGTTCGGTGTTCTAACGATGCGATTCCATGGTCTATTAGGAGGTCGATTTGGCTACAGGAACCGTAAGTTACATCCACATTGGTTCAAGAAAATTACTGGGAAAGCCCAATATTGTTCAGTCACTTCAAATTTACGAGGAACAATTATTTTCAGCCAGCACTACTTTAGATGGTGCAGCTGTGAAGGTACTACGTTAACATTCACATTCTTCCACTATTTGTCTGATCCAGTTTTTTATAGAACTGAAAATTTTGAGTTTTTTGTTGTAAAAAGATTTGGAGTATGTCAAACAACAGTGTGATTGCATCACTATCAACTGCAATGGATATAAGGACTATGGCTGTAAGCTCAGATCTAACTTACTTAGGAGGCAGAGGAGGAGTGGTTGAAATCTGGGGCAGGGACAAGCTCAACAAAATAGACACACTTCAAACTGGTAGAATCTGCAAGGTTGCTTGTATGACACTCAACGAAAGGGAGGATGTTCTTGTCATTGGAACATCTGATGGTCGAATTCAGGTAGAGTGTTTCTTCTATTTCATATCTTGATACTACTTAGAAGGACAGTTTGAATATTTTCCGTACGTACTCTTTTGTATAGACGATGGGACGAACAGCACTAAGATAGAATAGACCTGTTAATATGTCAAATGTATCTGTTGCAATATGACGAGAGGCTATTCCGCCACGGAACAAAATGATCAAACCCTTCGACACTCCATGTAGGATTTACAACTTGTACCCTTCCAGTTAATCCATAAGGATTGAACAACCATATTCTCAGACCATAGAATCCAGTTACATGAAATGCACCAAAACCAAAGCAACCCAATTGTAGAGAAATAAATGAATTCCAAAAATCTAAGGTAAATCCAAAGGAACTTATAGGCTTAAGATTTCAACGTGGTTTGAAAGCCATTCCAGCCTACCTTGAACTTTCAAATCTTTCATTTTATCACGAATATCATAATCACTCGAAAAACATAAACACCTCAATCTCACTACCCAAGTAAGTTTGAAAATGTGGCATTCTACAACAGTAGTTAATTTCAGCAGCTTCCTGGTTTTTTTGCAGGGTTGGGGACTGTGACAGAGAAAGGATGGGATGAGCTTGAAGAATATTAAACAGTATGATTTTGATAGAAGTGTATACAGCAAAAATGAAATATGTGATGTATTGGTGTTGAAAAATGTATATACTTACAGACAGAAGAGCTTGCTGGTGCAGCCATGGGTAAGCAGAATTGCTTCCATAATGAATGAAACTGAGCCAAAGATAAAAGATTCAAGCATCCAAAAGCTTCTCCTGCAAATTTAAGGTAGATTTAGGCCAAATTATTCAATGCATTATCCTGAGTTTTAAGTTTTAATATCGTATATGAATCTCGTTCATCTGATTTATTTTTTTAGTTCACTTAATTTGCGAATTAGGGAATAAATAGAAAGATGAATCGGGTAGACGAACACACCTCTCCACAATGATATGATATTGTCCACTTTGAGTATAAACTCTCATAACTTTACTTTGGGATTCCCCAAAAGACCTCGTACCAATGGAGAGAGTATTTTTTTGGCTGATGTGTGCATTAATTCTATTTTTCTTGATGATCAAGATACTAAGTTTGAATGATTCGGCTCTAAAGTTGGACAAATTTAACCCATAAGATTTTAAAAAAAAAAAATGGTTTTAAATAATCCCAAAAGTTGGTCGATCAAATTAACTTCAATATTTATTTTGAAATGTCAAGAATCAAATAAACACTCATTTAAAAAAATTTCAAACAAAAAACATATTTTATCTTTAAAATATCTTTTTCAAAGACACATAAATAATTAATATTAATGAATGACATTTTCTTTTCTTAAAAAAAAAAAAAAGAAAAATAAAATAAAGTTGCCACTCCACTACTTTCCGTTCCAAAATATTAATTATCCGGCGAATAGGCGATGAAGTCAGAGTCAACGCCGTCAAGGGTGATTTAGTAACTTAAAAAATATATTGTTGTAGAATGATAAATTAAGGAAGTAAATCAACCTTATACCTTTTCCAATTTGGCTACCCAGCTCCTCTTGTAGTATTGATTTTTTAAATTAAGAAAAAAAAAAATTCTAATGCAAGACTGAATTTAAAATTATATAAAACCTTAGTTCTCGTAAAACTTTTATTTATTTTACCTCGCGTAAAATATTCATTCAAAATTATATATTTAATTTCAAGTTTTTTAAAATGGTGGATTATTTATGATTAATTATTTTACTAATCCTTCAATTTTATCTATTATATAAAAAAAATCAAGGTTGTTAGTGTAATGGTTTTTTTAAATTTGGTTCTACTTTTTCAAATATGGTAATGCTTTCGTAGTTTAATGTCGTTTTTGGAAACTTGTTGCTGTTTTTAAAAAACCTGTTGAATTTAGGTTAGATTAGACAAAATAATTTTGCATTTTGGTTTAAATTTTATTATAAGCTTATTCATTTTTCTAATATAATTGTTATTTAGAAATTTGGATTATAATGTTTATTAATAAAATTAAAATGATTTCCTAATATTATTATATTATTTTAAATTTGAATATAATTGTTATATTTAGAAATTTGGTTATGATATTTTTTTTAAAATTGAACTGAGACGTTTTCTAATTAATTTATATTTTTGTTGTATTTAAAAACGACGAGTCGCCCGAAATAAGTAAATAAATGAAACGGTCTACATGCAGCGGATTCAATCCACCATCAAATGGCGTTAAATAGAACGCCTGAAGTCCGCCCATTTCCCTGACCTTTGCATTTGTCCGATCATTATAAGTAACCGTCCTCAGTCCCTAACCCTTACATACTCCCAGTTGTTAATTCGCGGTTCATCGGAATCATCGCAAAATGGCTCCGATTGCTGTTGGGGATTCGTTGCCGGAAGGGACAGTGGCCTACTTTGATGAAAACGATCAGCTTCAACAAGCGTCCGTACACTCCCTCGTCGCCGGTAAGAAGGTGGTTCTCTTTGGAGTACCCGGTGCCTTCACTCCCACTTGCAGGTAAAACCCCTGTCCGATTCTCTTTGAGGGAAGAAGGGATAACCCGATCTGTGAGCTTGTGAACACCAATTTCTGTTTGTGTTCTTGATTGATCTATCTGGGTTTTGGCTTTGTGCAACTTTTATGAAGTAATTAGTTGTTTGATTTCAGTACGAAGCATGTGCCGGGCTTTATTGAGAAAAGTGGAGATCTTAAGGCAAAGGGTGTCAATGATATTCTACTTATTAGTGGTATGCCTCTCTAATTTAACTCAACTTCACCTTCTATGAATATTTTTTGTTGTCCTTTCTACTTTTGTTGGGCCCTTAGCTGTTGGTGGATATAGTCACGAATAATAATTGTTTTTCTCTGTAATTAAAATACCACACTTCGAGCGCAATGTCAATGTACGCTTGCTCTCTGTGAATGATGGTCGATTTCATGTTATTCTGGGAATTGCCACCAATTGTTGTATGTGAGCTTTTGCTATTCGTGCTTTTTGTTAGGCACCATGAACCTCTATGATATTGTCGATTTTGAGCTTATGCTCTTGTGGGACTCCTTCTCAACGATCCTCCCCTCGAACAAAGTACACTATATAGCCTCCCTCGAGACCTATGGAGCCCTCGAATAACCTCCCTCCTCCCCCTCAAACAAAGTACACTATATAGCCTCCCTGGAGGCCTATGAAGTCCTCGAGCCTCCCCTTATTGAGGCTCGACTCCTTCACTAAAGCCCTTGAACAAAGTACACCCTTTGTTCGACACTTGAGTCACTTTAACTTCACCTTAGATATTCACAACTTATTTGTTCAGACATTTGAGGATTTAATTAACATGCCTAAGTTAAAAGACATGACTCTAATAGCATGTTAGGAACCATAAACCTCCATAATAGTATGATCTTGTCTGAGCATAAACTCTCCGGGTTTGTTTTTTGTTTCCTCAAAAGGCCTCGTACGATTGTGGAGAAATGAGTTCTAGTATTTTGCTAGTATGATCTTGTTATTTTTCAGACTGGACAAGAATACTTAAAATGAAGAATATGTGCACGAAACTTCTGAGTCTAGTTTACAACTTTACACTGTTTAAGAGTAATAGACTAAGATCTAAAGATAGGCCCAAGAAATGATGAAAAGCAAAGAATGAGATATTGTGTTTGTCCTTATGGATATGCTTGCTCTTTCTCTCCAAATGACTACCCGAGAGTTAGAATTGCATGTTTTCCCTCTTTATTCATGTATTGGCGAAATAATGCATAGGTCTCTTAGGGAGTGAACTCACACTCAATTTGAATTCATTCTCCAGTGAATATGACGTCTCTTTCCTAGTTTTATGAAATTGACTAGTTTCTTATCCTAATAAAAGTTTGAATTTGACCAGTTTTCTCCATATTGACTTGGTATGTATATGCAAATGCTAAACATGGCCTTTCGTGAAAGGTTAAGCCAGAACCAACGAACCAATAATCTAATTAGTCATTGCATGTAATATTATTATATTTTAAAAGGTTGATTAGAGCACCCTAATATAAATTTATTGCGTTTCTTTGGTTTCTGAAAGCATCTTGGTCAATAAGTTCCTTTCGTCAAATATTTTTAAAATCATTTTGCAAATAAACTCCAAATTTCCAATTTTTATTACAAATGGTAGATAACTATAGTTGTTTCTGTTGGATGCAGTCAATGACCCCTTCGTGATGAAGGCCTGGTCCAAGACTTACCCTGAGAACAAGGATGTCAAGTTCCTTGCTGATGGCTCTGCAGCATATACACATGCTCTCGGTCTCGAGCTCGATCTTTCAGAAAAAGGGCTTGGCATCCGGTCCAAGCGGTTCGCTCTCTTAGTTGATAACCTCAAGGTTGTAGTTGCAAATATTGAGTCTGGTGGAGAATTTACCGTCTCCAGTGCTGAGGACATCCTCAAGGCTCTTTGATTGCATCCATCTTTCATTTGTATGCATACTTCTTGCATCCCAGGCCGCTCATTGATCATCGTGACAGTGGGCGACCTTCTATCCAATTGTTGTCTTTTGATGTTGTTAGATGTTTAAGGCTACCCTCATATGAATAATGAAAGATGGTGCTGTTGCTTGTTCCATTTCTCCGAACTTCTGGTTAACCGAAGTGTGTGTTGAACTTGGCTTAGTGTCAGGCTGATGTCGCCCTGTTTCCAGGAAATTGTGGTGATAAAGTAACAACATTTTTAGTTAATCAGACATGCAGGGCAGCTTTTTGATTCAGGCGCAGTTCACTCTCTCTCTCTCTCTTTCTCTAGGGCTTTGCTTAAAATATTGGACCTTGGCATGTGTATCAAATCTTATAGAACTTAATTTTGCACTTAAGCCTTTAATTTATGAACTTTAGAGTAAATCTAATTCATTATACGTTCATAAACAAGAAAAATCATTCTTGGAAATTCTGTAACATCGTTTGAAAAGTCAAATTGTACTGTTTGTCACATCATCAGTATTATCTAAAAAGAAGAGCAACGTATAAATATTATTTTTATCAAATAGAGGATTATTAATAAATTTGTGAGTATTATTGGAAAAACAAAAATACATTTTGATCACCTTTCCAATTGAAATCACTTTTGAAACTACAAATAAAATAAAGGTGGTTTTTTTTAGTACACTTTTATATACTAATAGTGCATACACTGAAAGAGCACTATCTCCCTGTGGTCATAAAAAAAAGTTGAAATTGAAGCCAAACAGGACGATTATTTTCAGTTTTCAGTTCCAGATTTCTGGCTCCTTAATTTGTTCAGAGCATTATAGAATGAAATAAACCATACAAATAATTGAGATTCACGGTGTTCATTTCACCCACTTTTTTGATGGGGAATTAAATATTGTGCAGCTGTTACGTTGGAAGCCAGCCATTCGAGTTGCAGGTCCCATTCATTTGCATTTCAAAAACAATTAATCCGTTTGGATTTGAATATCCCTGCTAGGGTCAAAAAAGCAAGGTCAGTCTTTTGACCATAAGCTCTCTGCTTCATCTCTCTCTCTTCGAGTTTTTAAAAGCAGTTGGCCCTTGAAACTTGGAGAATGGCTTCTGTGACTTACTCACCAAGATACCCACATTCTGGTTTCTCTTCTTCCTCTATGTTTTTTTGACTTTTTTCAAACCCTATTTTGAGCTTTTGGGGTTTTGGTATATTCCTCTGTTAGCCAAAAAAATGAGTGTTTCAAGGTTTGTGAAGTGTGTCACTGTCGGAGATGGAGCTGTTGGGAAGACTTGTATGCTCATCTGTTACACCAGTAACAAGTTCCCCACTGTGAGTTTGTTCATACCCATCTTCCAAAATCCCTCCCTTTCAATTCCATTTCTTCCATTTACGACATAAATTTGCATTTGTTTTGTTTTGACAGGATTATATTCCCACAGTTTTCGACAACTTCAGTGCTAATGTGGCTGTGGATGGGAATATTGTCAACTTGGGATTATGGGACACTGCTGGTAAACTAAATGGGTTTTCCTTTTCCTACCAATGGATTATCTTTCTCTAAGCTTTGAATATGGATTTATTCTACTGGTTTGAAGTGAAAGTGGCTCTGTTTTGAAGGTCAAGAAGATTACAGCAGACTTAGGCCACTGAGTTATAGGGGCGCTGATGTTTTTGTTCTGGCATTCTCGTTAATCAGTCAGGCGAGTTATGAGAATGTTCTTAAGAAGGTAATGGTGTAAAAGTAACCCTTTCGTTTTAATGTTCTGACTGCAATATTTCAAGGATGAACTGAAGTCTTGCTTATGTTCTTTAGTGGATGCCGGAACTTAGACGGTTTGCGCCTAGTGTCCCTATTGTTCTTGTTGGAACAAAGTTGGGTGAGTAAACGACTTCAAACTGGTTTTGACAGTGAGAGTTTCTTTGTCATCTGCTCTTGAGATAATTTTTATTTTCCTTAGATCTTCGCGACAATGGAGCTTATTTTGCGGATCAAATGAGATCAAACACAATAACATATTCTCAGGTACTCTTTTTTTTTTTTTTTTTTGTTCATCTGAGTTGAATCACATTGCTCAGAAGAAACTGATTTAGTTTGTTCTATGCAGGGAGAAGAGCTTAGGAAACAAATTGGTGCTGCTGCATATATTGAATGTAGCTCCAAGACTCAACAGGTAAGATTTCTTTCATGATCAGTGGTGATTATTCATCATGTTCATCCCCTCATTACACATAGAAAGGGCCTACATTTTCACAAGAGGCCAAGAAGTCATCAGTATATGCATTAATAATGGATAGTACCTCAGTACTGAATTGTAATTTTGTTTAGAATGTCAAAGCTGTTTTTGACACTGCAATCAAGGTTGTTCTTCAACCTCCAAGGAGAATTGAGATGACTAGGAAGAGAAGGAGCCGAAGGTCTGGTTGCTCAATTGTGTAAGTACATGTATTATTTCCTCTACTTGTACTTTTCCTGTACGATTTTGGAAGAAAAGATTCCTTGAGATGGCCTATGGTCATTTGTCACATTAAAATATATGTGTTACTTATATGCAGAAGGTGCATTGCGTGTGGTGGATGTGCTGTTTAAACCATGCTAGCTATCAGGACTGAGTGCTGTAGAATCTATGTTTTGTGCCAATCCTATAGCTAGATCTTAATATTACTAGTTTTACGTTATTTTGTGCCGAGAAATAGGCGTCTGCTCAATGTGCAAGCTGACTGACCAAAGAAGTGAAGATAGTTTTGTTCTTCTTTGTTGTGTTTACTGCAAATGTTGTATTTGAAATGGTGTTTTGGTTGTTGCCAATGGAAGCCGCAAACTCCTGCTGTTGTTTTAAAAGAAGAGTACAGAAAACTAAAAATGTCAATCACCTTGCCAAGTTATTCAAAAACTTCAAGATAAGAATTCAGAAGGAAACCATACCGACAGGTTAATAAGAAAGTGAGACAAAATCAAGTTTGGCAATTCTCTGTATTGCCATTTTGTGCTCTCTATTTATACACTCACTTCTGAAAGGCAATACTGCATTACACCCACAGGTAGCATGTTTATTTTAGATGCAAAACTATGTGAATGATTCTAGGCGATTGCTTCAGTTAAACAGATACATTTGGAAACAGGGAACCTACGTAGTATATTCTTTGCAATAATCTTCATGGAATTTGAGGAAGCTAAGAGCCGCATAAACCTGGGCTGATGCATTATTCTTGAGGGAGAAGTGCTATTTCAATTTCTTGAAGTGATTTTCCTTTGGTTTCCACGACATTCCTTTTCACAAATGCAACTGCAATCAAGCAGAACGTAGCAAAACCAGAGTACAGAAACTGTGGCCTCATCTTCTCCAACAAGTGAAGGAAGAGCAATCCTACGAAAAAATTTATCACCTGAAAAGCATCAATGAACCCAGGGTGAGCATGACACTGTACTCCAAATTGAGTTCGAAGGTCGTATTACATTCTCATGTACGGATGAGGTAAATTGTGCAGGAAATTATTACTGGATGGAACCACGATCTTGATAATAATCTGAGTCAGTCTCGAATAATAAAAATCCCACAGGATACCCAGACTATTGAGCCACTACTTATCCAAGCACTTTGAGCCAGAAAAACTGAGCCTCTAAGCTCAACATTCTTACCTAATGGCAAAAGGCAGTAATAAGCTCAACATTCTTACCCAATGCACCGACATGCAGATTGCCATAGCTTTTGCTCTTATCCGACTGGGGAAAATTTCTGGTAAAAGAAGACCTGGAACTGGACCAGCTCCGAGAGCAAACATTAGGACAAACCTGCAAATTTACGTTAACGGGCACTATTACTCGTTGTTCAATAATATGCACTCTCTCTTTTACACATTTCCAACATTTTTATCAGGAATAACCTCTCAAGTCTTGTCAGTGGTGAATGCTCAATAGAGTAAAAACATGAATGATCGTTATTGTAATTCGGAACTCCAATTTTATTTGCCTTCATCGTCATTGATTGAAAAATCAGGCATTAAATCCAGAAAGAGTTGGCAAAACAATAGAAGATAAAAGAAGCCATCGATCTTTACATTTAGAGAATAAAAGTATGCTAATATACTTTATTTTCAATATTTTATGACCAAAAAGAATGATATGATCAATGATTAGAAAGTCTAGAAAAACAATAATCTGTTGTGATCATCAGAGAGTGATAATTTCCAACAAACTTGCCACATATCTCTAGTCAGATCAAAGAGCATGCTTTTTCGGGAGGAGGAGGGGGCTGCATGATGCATGTGGAATCTTTTTTTATGTAAACAATAATATAATATAAATTTACTTACATTAACGTGCCACCGACTGACAAGTATACAGCTCCAGAGTCTGGTGAATGAGAACCTGCTGCGACTACTTGGAGGGCCATAGCTACTGCCTGCGTTAGACACAAGACGACAAGCGAAGTCTTTCTTAAGATAACAGCATCCTTCAATCATGAAAGAAATTCAATTGTTATATACTTGGTGGATGGTATTTTAAGTCTAAATATTCATTGTTTAATCCCTATATTTGCTTCCTATCAAAACCATATCAAATAAGGTGGTTATAAATCCTGGCCTACTAACAGTAACAGTTCTAGATCCTAGTTACCAAAAGCAACCTTGATCAAACAAGCTAAGATATGTTCCTTCCTCGTTCCTAATAATAAACAAGACTTGGTAAGAACATTCAAGATCTATGTCATAGCAACAAGAAAAGATTTGCTTAATTTGGTTACCATCCCAGAAAAGCTCCATAGAAGAAGCAGCTTTCTTCCCAATCGGTCCATCAAAAGCATCGCGATTATGGATCCTGTGAAGTACAAATGGAGAATTTAAAAATAAATAAATAATGCCTAGTAATGAATTCAGAGTATGGAGCTTATATTTACACCAACCACCAAATCATGGAGCAAACCTGCTAAATTTGAAATTCCCACGCAGACATTTGCAAGGTTTGATGGAACTCCCGAGCTTTTAAAAACAGTCGAGGAGAAATAAAATATAGCATTTATACCAGAAAGCTGTTGTAAAGCAAATAGTGTTGATCCAATAAAAACAACTGCAAAAGAATTGCGTAAATAACGAAGAACTACTCCACCCAAATGAAATAGATAATTGATGCAGTAAAGTGCATGGATAGTGGCATTAGAAAAAGGAAAACAGTGAGTAAACAAAAAATAGGACTGAATCAGTATATATACGTATATATTAACCTTGAAAATGGCGGCCAAAGAGCAATTCAGAAAGTTTTACAGAATCTGGTTCATCTCCCCTGTCAAACTTGGACAATTCCGCCAAAGCAGATTTTACATGTGATCCACCAAGAAGCTTCTCAAATTCAGTTTCTGCTTCCTCAGTCCGTCCTTGCTACATTACATAAGATTAGAATTATAAGATTTTCTCATTCAAGAACTCTTATGAAACAGGAATTTATCCCTCGATACAGAACTGCACCCTAGCCATTGCAAGCATTTCAATTTAGCTTCACCACCCCCCACCACCCCAACCCAGAAATACCGAAGGTGCATTTTATTGAGGAGAATGGTGGGGCGAGACAGAGCACTGGAGAACATGCATATGCTTGGACTGAGGAATTATTACGCTGTTCAATTTTAAAAAGAAAACAAAGTTTTCATTGGGAGGATTAAGGAACTATAAAGACTTGTAAAACAGGCAGCCTTTTTTATGTTCATGCAACAAACATATATTTCGATACATCTGAAAGTACGCTCCAGAACAAACCTTATATAGCCAATGTGGACTCTCAGCACAAAATACCATGGCTAGAGCTAGTAATGCAGCTGGAATAGTAGATACCCCAAAACAGACACGCCACCTGAACCAGAAAAGAAGAGCATATTTTGAACTGATAAATAAATGGAAGGTTATGTATTTTCAGGTGGTCTAGAATATTCTATATATTTTCCATACCAGCCTACTGTCTCCTTAGCAGGGATTCCTATTAAGAGGGCTGCCATCAGTCCAAGACATGTAGCAATCTGAATGAAACTGCCATATGTTCCCCTCACAAACGCAGGAGATACCTACTCATGATGTATAAAAAAAAGTGAGGTAGCAAGCCATCATCTCGAATTGAATCCTTTTAAGATGCACGCTAACGCATGTAAAACAGTAATGTCACCATTGCTATACCTCTGTGACATATAGAGACGCAACAGGAGGGCCTAGACCCATTCCAATCCCAACAAACAGTCGCCCCAAAAGCATCCCAGCCAGAGTTTTAGTCATTGCACTGAAATTCAAGTCTTAACTTTTCTCGTGAGAGTGCAATAAAATGAAGAACGAGGAAACAACATGTAGTCAAATGGTTGATAAGAAACTAGACAATTCAGTACAAAAAATCAACAGGGGCATGATGATCTTCAATAAACTTGTATTACTACGAAATTAGAGTAAGAATCATTATGCAGAAACAAAATTGGGAAATTGGAGTTTGGTGGTTTCTTTTGGACTAGCTGACTAGGAAGGAAGAAAATATATTACAGCTTAGAGAAGCAGGTTCTTCGGTCCTGAATGATAATTTCTGTTTGGTTGAAAGAGACTTTTCTCGTAAAAGTGTTGAGGGACAAAATTACCAAAACAAGATCTCTATATGAGAACGTGATGAAAGTGCATCCAAGTCATCTACCACTTTAGCATCAATTAGTCCTAGACATAGAAGGTTAGGCTCTAAAAGGAGGGCAATCAAGCTTCTCTAGTTCACATTAATGAAAGGCTGAAAACAAATGAAAACGTAATGCTCTAGCTGCCATGCAGTGATGTGACAAAGGGGTTCATCGAAACTTTTGAATTACCACTTAGGCCACCAGTCAATTAACATAATTAAGTCAGCCAAGGCCCCCTTTCTCTGTTGGTTTTTGTTAGACAAACAAAAGAACACCATACTTATAACCAGGGCCAAACTTTGCCCCACCATATACATTCAACCACCCTCCTACACCTGCATGTCTCAACTGGTATTACTTTTCCCAACACCTAGCCATAGTGTCACCAAAGAATTAAAAAAGTGCATTCATGAATGTTCTATACTGAACTGTAGAAAGTTAAAATTGCGGGAGTTTAAAAACCTATGCACAGAAAACACCAGCTGACAAATGCCAGGAATATCAAATATTCGGTATCATCAGTAGCAACAGACAAATGACCTATAGAATTCACATCATAACTCATAACAGAACCATGGCAGTGATTGTTGTAATAGAGGTACAAGTCAAATTCAACTAAAAGACAACATCAGAAACCTACAGCTCCAGTGTACCACATAAGCATACCAGGTTGTATAATACACAGGAACAATGTCAGGATTGCCAAGTAAAAACATGAAGATGTAGCAAACTTCATAGTAGAACTTGGCTATAATTGCCTTTAATGGGAGAAAATGTCACCTCATTGCAGCACCAGCAATCATTGGCAAAGCACTCAGTTGGAAAGCCATGCGACGTCCTACTCCATCAGCTACCCAACCACTTAATAGAGACCCAACTAAGGCACCTCCCAGGCATGTACTGACAACCAAACCTTCATCAGACATTTAAGGGTAAGGCACGTTAGAGCATTGAATGAACTCAATCAAAGAACTCGAATAAAACACAAACAAGATATTTGCAGCATAACACCTTCTGCCAATGTATTCCCATTGAAACCAAGATCCGCAGAAATTACTTCCATTGGCTCATTTACTACTCTGCAGAAAACAGATAGCAAGATACAATCAGTGTTTACTTGTGAACGAACAAGTATGAACAGCTTCGCCAAACATAGACACCGAGAGAAAGAGATAGAGCTAAATCAGTATAAGAACTAACCCCAGGTGGTAGCCAAATAGAAATGAAGTTATGGTAGCTACTAGAACGTGGGGTAAAGAAAGCCTCCATGAAGGGTTCGAGACTTCAAAATCCTTACCACCCTGCAAAAGACCTGAAAGAACAAACCCAAATAACGTCAACTATCATGTCTTTGCCATCGTTTAAAAGGTTCATTGATTCTCATGTCTATTACACCCCGTAAACAGAAAGCACAAACAAAATTCATGGGTTTCGTAGCTACAGACTGCCTAATAAAGGATTACCTGAATTATCCTCCATGTCAATTAGACTGGAGTTATATTTAAACGAAAATCGCTTGTACATTGAGAAATCTTCGCGTTTTCAATCCCACGTACCAAACCGCCAGAAATCCTCGCCAGAAGTTCCCTAACATGGATAGTGTTGAGATGATATTTTGCTTCATATCATAATCCAAATATTTAAACGCCATTCTTAACCCAGCATCTTCCAGTATCGAGTTAATGCTGAAGCTCTTCAATTAACACGAGCTTAAGATTCCATCACATCGGCATCAGGGTTTATCAAGTTGATTTCACATTTTACAGAAACATGCATTAATGCTGAGGTGCTTCAGTTAATATAAGCTTGAAATTCCATTACATTAGCATCAAGGATTATCAAGTCGATTTCACATTTCATAGAAACATGCTTTCATTAGGCAATCAACTCCAAGTTCTCATAAATAATCGACTACTAAACAGAACTTAAATTTTGTTGATCTAAAGCCAAATCTAGTCATCATCAAGCTATAAACTATTAATTTGCAGCAAGACGCACATCTCTCCCGAACCATAAAACTGAACACGCAATCTCACGTCAGAAGAAAAGAAATTATATCAAACAAAACAAAGAAGAAGAAGAAGAGTTACCAAATAAAAGAGAAGTGGTGGAAGTCGATTATAATCTCACCAAAAAAAATCGTCGAATCAAAACATCATGAACTTGAAAGCGCTTGAAATGCACTCAAATGGATGAAGGGATCAGAAAACAGATCTAAAGGCAGAAACGCGCGAACTTCTTTTTAGCCGTTCGAGAACCTTGTAGAAGCGGCTGTAATTTTCGCAACACGAAAACGAACAAACACGCAAATAGAAAGAGACGCGCCGATTGCAGAAAAATATATGAACACTGTTGGTGGAGGCTTAAATTTTACACTGAAAGACGACGATTGATTATCACGCCAACAAAAACAGAGTAACTTTTTGTCGCAGTTTTACAGAGTTCTCCCTCCAGCTACTCGACAAATTATTGAATGATGCCGCGCCTTATACAATTTATGTCTTAAATTCCTTTTATTTTGCTTTCTTATATAATGGTACGTTCCTAAATTAATAAAAATATTTTCAATTTTTTTAAAAAAAATAATAATACTCTCAAATTTTAAAAAATACCAAAATTATAAAGTTATAAGAATTTTTATTTATTCAGCATTTTCAAAAATTAAATAATTAATTTTCTTTTCTTTTTTTATATATAGCATTCAATTACAATTATTAATTTGGTTAATGGAAACAGTGAAAATTCATTGTATTATGGGAGGCGAAATCAGCGGTGGTGCACCACGTGTCGGGGTACAACAAAAATGCGGTGATCCGAATTGGGCTACGTTAATTTATGGTACGGTTCACGTGTCGACCTCTAACGCTGTCGTTTTTTTATCATTTTCTGGTGCCGTCATAAGATCTCGGGGATGTGTTGTAGAGAGAGGTTGACACGTGTATCCAAGATCACAGATCATAACCTTCCAATTTTGGGATTTATAGACCTATTACGGGCTAAATTAATAGAATTATATACAATTTAAATTGTTATCTTATAATAAGTTAAAAGGGGCAAATACATTTTTAGCCTTAAAAAGGTTTGAGTTTAAAATGTCCATTGGACTTATAAAGTTCCAAATAAGACGTTTTACTTCACGAGGTTTAAATAATAGATATAATTACTGTGATTGAATCAACTACCCTTTTAGTAATTGTGACACGTTTTACGGAATTTCACGTGCTGAATTCCTCATAACTAGAATTTAGGGTTTACAAATGTACTCCCCGCCTTTTTCAACGATTTATCGGCGTTCAGACTTTAGACGGACCGGTTTCGTGGCTGCTCTTTGAAGCAGGCAGAAGAATCAGGAAAACAAGGCGAGAGGATGGGTTCGAGGGATAAAGACTCTACGACTAACCACCAGCCGTTATTGAGCAGCCTGGTAGTACGGCCATCGAATAGTGACGGAGTCGGTGCAACCAGTGGCGGCCGCGTTGGTCGTGGAAGCGATTACGAGGCCGGTGAGGTTCCTCGTGACCCTCCACAATATTCTCGATTGGATCGATATTCAGCTGATTTGGGTTCGTTACTTCTGTACACCTTCGTTTTCGAACACTTCTCGAGCTACAATTGGATGAATAGGCGCATTGCTTTTTTTTTTTTTTTTTTTTTTTTTTAATTTTTTTTTTTTT